AATTCGTGTTAGGTTTAATACCTAATTAGTTCAGAAATTCCGTTATTAATACACCAGTATACAACAGGAATATAAATAGCCTCCAGAAATATGTAACAAAACATTTGGATGAGGTAACTCATTGAGTTAGAGACTTTCATATTTTATTGGAACAACAATTTGCTTTATTACATTGATGTCTTATCTACGTCTCAAGAGGTCATATGAAAACTATTTTGGAGTTATAGTTTACATTTATTATACGGAAGAGATATTACTTCTCAACTCAATATAGTTTTAAAATGAGAATATTCTGATCCTGGAATGATCATTCTGGGTGGTCGGTGATTTTGCTCAGCTATATATTGGTAATCAATTTACCAAATTTAAGTAAATCAGTCAGTATTGTGACACCAATTACAGTTACTATTTGTATTAGGAATTCCAAATAAGTAGACTGACACCAAGAGATTAACAAAAGACAATACCTGAGAATTTTGAATTTGGTGTGTTTGTATGAAACATGGACTTGATATTGAGGAAACGTTCAGTTCCGACAGAACTTAACCTATTGTTTTCAAGATGTAAACATTTATATAATCTTGTTTGATTGTTGCATTCATATGAAAATTTCAATTATTTCGTAAAACCATCTTACTTTAAACATATACATTTCGATAGCACTAACTTAGTGAAAAAATATAGATCTTAATTAACTTCGTATATATTTTAGTGGCTTGGGATCTGACTCCAAACAGATCGTTTCTGATTGTTATCGAATGATTGCTGTCAAAATATACATCCTGGTTACCCTCGTATATAACCATCGACTTAACTCGCGTTAGTGAATAACGGAATTAAATAAGTCATATCCAAGATTGGATTTCGAATATGTATATTTTATACAATCATTGATCTAGACAAACGATCGAAGAAACGAAGCGAAAACATGCGCGGTGAAGAGAGAATATAAGCTAATTCTATTTAACCCAGCCTTAATCGATATTTATAGTTACACACAAATAAGTTACAGACATGTAACGAATATGATAAAAAATGCACTTGCATACGCTTATATAAAAAAGTAAAGGTTGATAAGCGAGTAATTAACTAGGTCAAAATGTATCTCAAGAAGAATGAATACATTGGCTTGTCCGGAAGCGCGAATATGCTGTGTTGGTTTAACATAGCAACCGATATTACACTATTCTGTCAAATGATCACGTTAGTACAAAGTAGGAATAAAAATCTAATATAAAGAGGAGTTTAGAATACGCATATTTTGTATATTTCAATATTAAGCGCCAGATAAATGGCAAAATTTACGGTGAATAAATAGAGCGTGTAATTTAGTAACACATCAACTCAGTTTTTATGTGCGATGTACGAAGTACACTTAAGCAGATAGATACATTCGTACTTTCATCCACCCATATATAAAAACGTTCAGGGTTAAAAGTGAACATTTAAAAAGTTCAAATATATGGTTTATAGAATAACCAACGAGATAGAAAATCATTCAGCAATTCAGAAGCTAGAATAATCTCATGTGGGCATCACAAAAATCACTATAAATATCCTGATCTTAACGAAATCCCCTACTCAATACTGTCAAGATCTTATGAACTGCTATCTTGTTTATCTGAAACAGAAGATATGACACTATCGAATCTAAAAGAAGACAAAAAACAATTTCTCTTCAGTATTAGTCAAAGAATTGTGTATTGATTAACATTGAAGAAATCATGACCAATTAATTCACTGTTTAATAGTTATTATCATCAAGACTGATTCAGACTGAATTCTTTTTACCACTTACTATAACCCAGTAGTAACAGTTTACAGATAGTTATATATACAGTAAACATGAAATGAATCAATTTATAATTAACATACACCTAAAGATTATATTGTAATGAAAACAAATATACAACTAGTTTTGTTCTCTTGAAGCCAATAAAACTGTGTCCAACTGGGAAAATGACAATGCTTAGACTAATATTGAACAACATTATTTAGAATAGCTTTTAAAAAGTCCATTCTAATGAGGTAGTCAAATTCTAAACATTAGTAAAATAATAATAAGGAAAAGTTTCCTTAAAGATTTCTATAAATTAAAATACAGTAAACAAAATTAGTCAGCAAACAAACTGTGAAAATCAAAATATGCTTGCAGGATTGCAAAAAATCGATAGAAACAATGTACCACTTATCATGTCAGAAAATTATGAAATATTGATTTTGACAAAATTGTCCATCTTTATCACGCATACCTCTATTGTAGAGTGAATTCGAAAAAAACACAACTCAGATTGATATTTTCACCATCTTGGGGTTATTTTCTATTCAAACTTATTTTACTTACAATCCTATTTTGTCTTAAAACGTTTCTACAATTGATTTGGTTGGTATTATGATTTAATAAGATTATATTACGAAACTGTGTAATTCAATAGATAGTTAGATTTGTTAAAAGTTGATATCAGCTAGAAAAAAAATGCATGGAAATTTGCAAAGTCGTTTTGTATTCGCTTGAAAAATTCCATCCACACATGATCTGCAGGTTTAACAATGAGTATAACACCACTGAGCTATTCAACTGGAATCAATTAGTCCACTTCGTTTAATTTGTTATATTTTGATATCTCCAATCTATATGATCGGTTAGGTATCTGTTATGACTTTATGTCCAGCTTCTTATCACGTGATTTATCCACCAATAAAAATACGACTTATACAATCTTCGCACTATGCCAAACCAATGACGTTTGACCGGTATGGTCCTAGCCCGTCCACCAGCCAAAAAATGGCTGTGAACGTGGGAGGCAGTAGTCAATAAACTGAACATACCTTAAGAACAGTAAATCGTTCAATAATAAATTATAGGTCGAAATAAAGCTTATAATAAGAGGAATGTAAATATACATAATCTAATTATTGAATAGTTATACCATAAGAATGTATAGATAATATTAGTCAATTAATATATCTCAGAAGTTACTCGTGATTTAATCTTCGCTCGGATATAACAGTAACTGTGTAAGTCATGATGTTCTACTAAGATTTCAAGAAATCTATCTGAAAGTTACTCAGGAATGAACACAATTATAATTGGGTAGATGATGTTGTGGGAACGTTTTACATTTAGAAAATTAATTTTCATCACAAATCGATATTACTAGTAGAATCTTAGAAAATTTGCACGATTGGTAATCGACCCAATAGTTCAATTGTATGTTATTCGTTGCCCTATTGACAATTCCTAAGCTAGAAAAAAACATATATTCACTATTCTCCAACATTTAGCGATTCAACAATTCATGATAAAAATCACTTTCAAATAACAATAAACTTAGATGACAAATGACAAGAGAGAAAAATCTAACTGAATAAAATGCTCCTAAATTAATTATTGAAATATTGGGAATTCGTAAAATTTTGAACAGCTAATATCCAGTTTCAAAATACACATTATAATTTCAATATTGCTAATTTGACACTTTTTTCTTTATGCTCACATACATAGAAAAATATGTATCACATATAAAATTCCAGTTAATCTAGGTATATAACATAGAGTAGGTTTTTGTTTCAGCAGTTAAATAAAACAACAAATAAAAATGTAATGGAATTCAACTACGTCAAATAAGACTCATTAACAACATTAATTTATCCTTTAATGATTAATGGACTAATAATTTAGATTTAACTGTGAAATGTAAATTGAAAATTAACATGTATATATATAATACAAATATGTCAATTGTCAAACTGATTAATATATATCAGCATAATTTATTAGTTATATTAATTAATTTGAATAAACTTACAGTCTAATCATACTTCATAGACAGAGATATCAAATGTAAATTAATTTATTTACAAAATTTAGTGTATTCATCTTAAATAATTGATAAGGGTAGGAAAAGATCAAGGAGTATTGACCATTCATCTGATGATTGAAACGAATTTTTTTCTCTAGCTTTTTCTGGATATTCAAATAACAAAACAAAATTCATTTTGTGTGTGTGTGTGTAATTTTCCGATTGATTACTAAATGATACGTGAAATAAATGAACAACACATACATAATAAGATTGTAGATTGTATACACTAGGCTATAGGGAAAAATTTATAGCGTGATGATTACAGGTTTGTACAGTCCAATTAAACTATAACTTATATCAGGGTGCATTAATCAACTACCTTAAAAATATGGAACTCAATATACAGAAACAAAATGTGAACATTCATAAATTACTACTTCATTACGAAGTACATTGAAGTAGACAATACATTCATAATAACTGGAAACATCTATTTAAAAATAAATAAATAAAAACAATCTTTTTGACGGCTGATTCCTTTTTTTCTTAAGAATAAAATTTAATACATATGAAGTACAATGAGAAGAAGAAGACATTTTTCTGAAAAAAATGTTACTCTAAAGAAATTTGTAAAAGGAACTAATTGCTTCAAACATATGAAGTACACAGAATTCATGATTACTAAGAAATAAATTCGAAAAAATATTTATCGTACAATCAAAATCAAAATTATAGAGTGAAATGAATTAATGTAAATAATGAAGGAAATGATGATGATGATGATGATGATGATGAAATAAGAAATCAACGAGACTATACCGTTTTTCACTAACTTAACAGTTTAAAATAATGAAAAATCTATACATGATTTGATACCGGATGATAAATGTACGGAATTATACAGGGTCGGGTTAATATATTTTAAATGATAATTCGTTATAAATATATTTTTATTGAATTGTTGATTATAACTGTCTATTCAAATGAGACTGTCTAAAAATACATTTGCGTTGATGCTCGTAATGTTACAAAGTCCTGATTGTTTTTTTTATGCATAAAAAGACCGGTGAAACAGTATTGTAATAAGAAATTGAATTAGCTTTGCAGTTTGATTGTGTACGAAATGATTTGAATAAACTTTTATGACTAACAATCATTTGAATATATATACCATACAGAAATCATGGTTATCTTTTAATGAGAAGTATTACTTTCATATTTCAATCCCTTTTGTTCATCAACTGTTATATGCCCATCTTCATAAACTCTCGAGTTTGATTCATCTGGTGTTGGATAACATGAAAATACACTGGCAGCTATGTTGTTATAAACATCATCGTTTATTATACGTTCATTAACTATTTCTATATCATTATTCTTATCAATGTGATTTTCAGTTTTAGTTACAGTAATCAGACCTTGTTCTGGTTCTATTCGTAAATTACGTGTATATTCAATGGGGAAATAATCTAAATAAAAACATGCACCATTCCATATTAGCGTTAATGTTTGAATAATTAACATAGATGCATGGAATAGATAATTGCACCATGCAACGACAGCAACTAACAGGAGAATTGTAGACAGTATGATACTGCAAGCTATCCAACTAATCAAATGCCATCTAGTGTATAAATGAATAAAAATTAAATAGAGATATTAATACGGTACAGAAATGAGTATTTAGTTGGAAATTAAATTACTATAGGTAAAAATAAAATCAATATTTATTTTCTTATTTGTATCAGGTACCTACGTTTCATGCCACTCAGAATTCATCAGCAAAGCATACCTGCGATGTTGATAGAGATATCGCCTTCATTAGGAGGCGATACATCATCGAACTATTCGGATAAAGACTGACCACCTTCTAAAAAGCTGAGCTATTTACAATTGATTGTTCACTGAGTAGTAACCAATGTTATGTTTGTCTAGCCCTAAGTACACAAAACGTACACAGAAATTGTTACAAGTATTTAGAGCAAAAATGAAAAAAAATTAAGTATCTTAAATCGAGCTTTTGAGAAGCTCATGAATCATCAGGTTACAAGTTTGAACTCGATTTACTTCGGAAACTGGATGGTGTCACTAACTAAGCAACACAACAGATAAATAGCCTGAATAACAATTTCTCGCAGTTTGCCTCATACATCTCTCCCTTTTAAATACATATAACTTGATTTTCATTTCATAACATATATTAGTTGATGTTATATATTTGTCTGACTAGCTTGATATACTATTCCTGTATCACTGGAAATTAACTAATAATGTAAAGCATAGCTACTTATACATAGCGCAATTTAAAAATATGCTACTAGAACACCGAGAATAAAATAATTGGGATAACAATCTGTATACTAGATTCAAATTAGATTTAATTTATATGAAAAACAATAGTGTTAACTTAAACAAGTAAGTATAACACAAGGCCATTGAAACTGATGATTAAAATCATTCCTTGTTACGAATTTCATTGAATTAACTTAAAAAATTCTTTCTTATTTGAGTTTTAAAAAGTTAATCGTCCTACAATTAAATACCCTCTTAATATCCTAAGGCGTAACCGTGATAATTGTAAATCAATGAAAGTTTAAGAGAAAAATATTATTGGTGAAAGAAAGTGTTGTTAATTAATAAATTGTTTTGTAGTGAATAGTCTCAAACAGAATCAACATATAATATATAATATACATATATAGTATTCATTTGTGGTTATATGTTAAAAATTTAATTTGGAGAATCCTTACTAAACTGATAAAAATTATTTAATGGAAGATTTTCTAAGTACAAGATACAGAATCTCATATTTTAATTGACAATTAACACTAAGAACAAAAACTTTCTTCATCTTAGAGATATTTTACTACCCTGTTACTGCATGTTGAAACAGATAAAGATTATAAGTTATGATATGGTATTACAGCTAACAATTGCATCTTATTTAAAGCTTAAGACAATTGAACAATTAATTGCATTTTTCCGAAGTCATAATTAATGTTTATGAAACTAGTAGATTGAAAATAAAACACTTCATTTTCAAGTGTAGTCATATGTATGTTTACTTGAAACACATACCTGTTACAACTGTAGGATAAAAAGAACATTGATCGGCGAAAGCCCCTTAGATCGTTCTTCTTGACATTTATCATAACTAATCTTTTAGTGAACTGTAAAAATAATTAATGACACTGAAACATTTTAGTAATTCTGTTTTTACTGTATTACAACTACAATGTTATAATAAACTACCTACAGACTAGAAAAAAAACTCCCTATATAAAGGGAATAGACCCTCTGATGGTTCAAGTAATGTAGTTTATAAACCATGACAAATATTAATAACATCGTTTTGAATATTAAAAAGAAGAAACATAAGTAGCAACAGTAGTGATAACAATAATTACTAGTAATAATAATAACAGTGATAAATAATAAGTGAAGTGATATAAAGATAAAATTTAATAAAAACTTTGACCTCTTTCCTATCCTTTAAACATGTTAGACTGTCTATATTGGATGACAAATGAATAATAAATAAAAACAAAAACTGCATAATCTTGAATTATATTAGATAAAAATAATTATGATCGTATCTTAGGTGATTTCACATGTTAAATGATAATACACTAAAACTAGCAATTACCATAATCTTGTTTGATTGATCCTATTGTTAACCTAATCCAATAAATTTTGTATTCCCTATTTTGTTGTTGATTTTATTGGTCCATTACGATTTAGTGAGATTTGTTTTGTTATTTATGTACATTACAACAAATAATACTGATCACATTTACAATTATTGATTATTTCTACGATCTATAATAATAAATAAATAATATATTTGTAATATCCCGATGAGTAGAAAAATTAGATTTTCTGACGTTTCATGACTTAGTGTAAGCCACTTCTTCAGAGAATTTATAACCACATTGAAATTAATCCAAGTTCAAATAGTACAATAGTACAAATAGTACTATTTAAATTTGAATTAATTTTAATGTGGTTATAAATTCTCTGAAGAAGTGGCTTACACTAAGTCATGAAACGTCAGAAAATCTAATTTTTTTACTCATTGGGATATTACAAATATATTAATTTATTTATAACAATCTACCCAATGCTCAATTTAACCGAAATTATCAAGTCAAACTTTGGTAATGAGATCCATAATAGCGTTGATTTAGTCATTAAGATAATTGAAAATTAGAATTCATATTTATTAATGTCTATTAAACATTGTTATAAATGATGGTGTTCATATGTTAATCGATACATTCACATATTTACAAATGTTACAGTAAGATTTGATATATTAAATTTTCTTGGATTGTAAAATTCTATATATTACTGAACTGATTATTAAAGGTGAAATGAAATTTAATGATCTTGATATATTGCTGGTAATGATTCAATAATCTGAAATCAGATGATTAGTTATGAAAGTTGCACGATAGATAAATAAACTGTTAGTCTTGATATTGGGGACTGTTGGGCACTAATAAATGGAGTAAAGAGTGAAACACTATCATATTTATTGAACTAATGGTATTTTCATTTGATTCTGAAATAAAAGATGTATCTAAATATCAATAACAATGTATATTTCTGGTTTACTGAACTACAGACAACACTACCATGAACAGGCTACTAATTAGCTCTCCAAATCCCAATACATACAAGAAACGCTTTAAGCTGTTAACTCATAAAATTCGCAGTGTCAAGGTTTTTAAATAACAAACAATTGTGTATCCAGTGTTATATAATAAGTAGTAACCATAGTTTGCTGTAGTAATCAGGAAATAATAACAACATCTAGACACAAATAAGCAACTTGACTAGCAGTTATATCTCAAAACAACAAACAGACAATTATACATTAATTATCTCAGTTACGGTGAGTGCATAAGACTAATAAACATCAATCAAACGAGTCTTCTGGCACAAGTTAACTAGATAAAGGGCGAAGCGGTGGCTTAGTGGTTGAGGTATTTGGTTCTAAGTCACTAATTGAACAGTTTGAACTTTATCTATTTCGGTTTGGGTGACCGGTTAGTATCATCAGATCACATGCTTAGATTTTACCTCCAAGTGCATGAATCCGTACTTGGTAAATGAGTTGAGTAAACTGAATAAAATTGGTAAATTATGCAACAATAAATACACGTACATAATGTCCGAAAAATCAACCACAACTACATAAACATTTGTCTTACATTTCATGGTTTGATAGTGCCAAATAAGAGTTGTTGACAGTTTGTAATAAGAAATACTTCCCAGTTGTACTGTACCAAAAATCCTATATATATCATATACCATCGTAATAGTTAAAGTAACACATTTATATATTATATATATATATATATACTTACCGATCACCAATATATTTCCAGAAGAAACGCCATAGAATTTTCTTTTTATGTAAATATCGGAAACTATCTAAATAATCATCACTGGGTTTGACAATTCCATAAATTATAGTATAATATAGCATCTAATAAAAAACAATAAGAAATAAGTAACAATGTCTAATTATAAAGTTATTTATCAATAATACACCACTACACCAACTAATACTTCGGTAAAGTATGAACGGAAATATGAACATGTTGATGTCGTTATTTTAGTCATACACATTACTATTTGACAAGTATTTTTTAGACTAATGTGTAAGTAAATCGTTTGATTCAGAGATCCTCCCATACAAGAAAATGTTATAAAAGTTTGTAATTGATTGACATCACGACACAATTATTGAAACTACTCTAGACTATGAAGAAAGTTGGTTGCCAAAGTATGATGAAACAGCATACGCAATAAAAAAATTTACTTGTGCTGGATGTATTAATTACAATAAAATAATATCACTCTGATCGATTATTTAAACGAATTTCTTCTGCTTAACTACATATGTTTATACTGTTAGATGATACAGCCAAATAATTCAAATGAAATCTAAACACTACTAACGCGGTTACACTGATCATTTTAAAAAACATCCGAAGTGAATATAAATAAATGTATTCCAATAACAAAACAATCATATGGATGAATATGCAAATAGGTGTCATTATCAAGGTTTGATTTGATAATTTCGAATAAATTGAGCATTGGGTTGATTGTTATAAATAAAAATAACATATTTGCAATATCCCAATGAGTAGAAAATTGGATTTTCTGACGTTTCATGACTTAGCGTAAGTCACTTCTTTAGAGAATAAATAACCAAATTAAAATTAATCCAAGTTTTTCAGAAAATCCAATTTTCTACTCATTGGGATATTACAAATATATTATTTTTATTTAGAATATGCAAATAGTTTATTTTATAATACAGAAATTTTTAAAGTTTCCACAGCAAAAGAACTTAACAAATTTCCATCAATTCAGCTAAATCAAGAACACATGATGTATAATTTTTTCTTTAAACTTACCTTTCCTATGATCTAGTTTTTTAAAAGGTGGTAAAACACCTAAATATATTAAACACTCAATCCGATTTCTAACCCTAACCTTGAGCACTTAATTTTATTTTCATTATTAAATTAAATCAACCACGCTCAACAAGCAGTGTTCTGCTTCGATATGTGCATTGTAACCTAGAAGCAACTCGCTCCTACCTGACTCACTTTTATAGGTCAGTTTTATCTAAAAGATGTAACATTTATTTGCAAAAAGATTCAGCCATCAGATGATGAGGAGTATACATATATGTACGGACCATATGTATTCGACTAAATTGTTGATGCATTCTTAACAAACGCTATCAAAATGTCCTTTTACGAAACATCTAACGTAACACATGTACTACCATCAAGTTTTTATATCCCCATAAAACAATTAATCACAAAATACTTAAATTTCCAATTCAGTACATCTTTTATAAACATTCATTTTTCTCTTACCCTTATTTTTTGTGGCTTACTCCATTGAATGAGTAACTGACTATAATTTTCGTTACAACATACTGCATTTGAATGATTTTCGACCCCAAATATGTTACTACCACAACTGCTGATCGTCAATTTTCAATAACATGTCGCTCCATTCATACTGAATACTGTTGGGTTAGAATATGTGAAACTATAATCTAGATATTTAAATTTTCGACAATCTCAGATGTCTTACATTCACATTAATCCAGAATAGGGGTTGTTATAGAACGCTTTAAATGGTGATGAACATGTTCAATGTTCCAAAAAATCGTCATATACTCATCTTTTCGAAACTTATATCATACTATACTAAATTTATTTGTCCTTTAGTCAAATTTCATCCATTTTTCTTCATTTAAATCTCTTTGAAGCCGTCAAATGTCACTATTTCTCTTACTAGGTTTAATTTGTTAAGTAATTGCCTAATTTTTAGGAACCCAGAAATACTGATAAAGAAGGCTTATAAGACTAGATCATCTTTGTGGATTAATCAACTTCACAGCACTTAGTTTCCATTTCTAATCATGAGAGGAATAAAAGTATCAACAGTCCAACTTGAATTGTGGTCAATACTTCGAGATGTATCCGATTACAGAGCACTGTACATAGTGTTTTGCTACTTCTCTTGCTTTCTGACTGAAAATATGAAATAGTGTAGTTTGACAGTTTAACCTCATTTTAATCAGTCAGTAAGAGCAATGAGACAGAAAGTGAAAATTATTGGTATATCAGAAAGGGATAAACACAAAGAATATTCAAAAAGAGAAAACTAAAATGTGTAATTCTTACCTACCTCACGTACGAAATGGAATAAAGTAGGAGCTGCAACAAGCCAGAACCAGTCGATATCTTTATTCCAGGACAACAATTCTAGAGAAGCATGGGAATCATATAAGTTGGTATACCACCAAACTGATGTTTCCGATGGATGCCACCGAATTCTGTGAATATAACAAAAAGAATTATTTCGAAAAATGAAAAACATATAACATTAACAATTAGCTTACTGTTTCTGGACTGTTATAAGCTTAAATTCTAAACTTAAGACGTGTGTAAGCATACGTAATAAACTGAGATCGATGCCATTATTCCAAATATTTCTGGATCGTTCCCAAAGCGTTTAGTAATTGTTTCATTCAAACAGTTGTGTCATCTACACTAGTAAATAAATGAGTTATGTTAGGGTATCTCTGCAAAGTCATAAGAAAAAGAATTTAACCATGCAATCATATTCTTGACGAAAGCGTTTAGGCATGAGGAAATTCCGTAGCCCTAATAAACACTGTTTGTTGACATCAATTTAAAGGACAGTTCACCACCAGTTCTGACCTCACCAGTAGTGTACGTAAAACTGATTTTTAGTAGATTGATATGATTTCTACAATGTGACTTTCAATAAAAATGTTAACATGAAACCTTCAGTCAAAGGAGCCCCATATGACGCCGTCAAATCACGAAGCATTACTACAGTAGAGTCAATACGTTTGCATAAATTATGGGACCTATTAGAAATTTACAGCCCGGTTTTTATATTCACGACCAGATCTGGAACCTGCTGGCTGCTTTTGTGTTTTCTATTTCCAAGACAAATTTAGGTGCCTCATGAGTGTCGGCTAACACCTTATGTATCACATTGACTGGTTGATGCGCTGTGATTACGACAAAGCGATCCATTTTTCTTGTGAAATTGGATAATTTATAGATAGGGTTAGTTAGACAGGATCATTACTCCCTTTCACACTAAAAAACCACTAAAATACAACTCTTGAGCCCAAACTGTTATCTTTTAAGAACCCTCAAAATAAATCTTCACACACTTCAGTCTAGTTAAATCTTAACTGAATTTATGTAGAAAAAAGCCGAGAATAGTTTCGATTCCAGTCACTAAGAAATTATAAAAACAGTATGGGGTAAAAACCCATGGAACGCAAATATATCGTATCAACTGAAAACACACTAACAAACCGAAACTTGCAAGAATGAGAAAAGGGCAGGCAAGACGTGTATAAAACACGAAGTAAGTCTTTGAATGTCGTGCAGAGCAAGGGTGTTACGGAATAGAAACGCCCCACCGAAAGCTAGAGAATTGGCAAGACCAAAGTGGAACAACTGCATGGCGTGCGATTGCGGCAATAACCTGTGAAATGCAAATATTAGTACAAATACTAACCAGATGAAGATCAATGACACAAAGTTGATAAAGTAGCATGGGTCCAACATGAACAATAAGTATTTATTTTTCCTAAATTTGTCACCCATAATAGTCAAACGAGAGGTACCAGTAGTTGTAAACTCTCAGGAGGTATAAAAGGATGAAAAGAGAAGAGAAGCTGTATAACACAAGTGCCGGTCTGATAATAGCGAAACACATTGTAGTAAGAATAACAGACATTGCTACAACAAAGCACAGCTTCTCGCAAAGTTTCATCTGGAACAAAAATTAAGACGACAAGAACAGTTTACAGTTCCGAAGTAGGTTTACTATAATATGTAGTTAACACACAGCTATGTGCATCATCTACTCCTTGACTCTTTGCACCGCAACCAAACACAGCGCCACAGACATTTGCGCGATAATGACCTGGAGGTGCATAAAAATGACGTAATATAAGTATAGTTTTACTTTTGCAGCTAGCTGGTAAAAAGTAGTACAAAGTATGAAGAATAAGGACATTTTTATTTAAATTTAATCAAAAATGCCTTAAAAGATATTTTTAGAAAGACAAATGTTCGAATGGTACAAATGATTGTGGACGGAATAGAAGAAGTTTTCGCCTAACGGGATCTCATGTCTAGTAGCGATGAACCACCAACACATCCAGACAGGAACCTAGAAATATTACCGATAATGGAGGAAAAAGAAATTGGTAAATCATAGTAAGACAATATCCTTAGTCCTGAAGAATAGGTAAAGTTTCCGCTTAAGGGACTCCTAGGAAGTCTCTTGGTCTAGCCCAACCGGCTAGCAATAATAGTAACCATAGGAAAGTGAAAATAACCGACATACCAACTACGTACCATATTCACAGTTTACTTTTCCACTAACGTTGATATTACTATTTCGTTGATTTCTTGTCACTGATGTGAATCGCAGCAACTTAGACAGAAGCACGTTCTTGTCATCTTAAATTGTCATAACTACCTGCATATGCTCACGTTTAATGTGCTACAATTTTTTGACACTAGTTAATTGGATATCTATAGCAAATATCTCGAGCGGATAGATCTAAGTTTACACTAACGGCTAGAATTATATACCACTTGTTACTTGGTATATATATAAGAAAATAGGGAAGGTAGCAATAATAGTAACCATAGGAAAGTGAAAGTAACCGACATACCAACTGTGTATGGGACCTCCACTTATGATATCTTTCGTAGAATTCGTGTCAAAATTCAGTATTCCATCGCCACTACGTTGAAAGAGCTTCCTAGAACCATGGCCTAACAATTCATGAAGTCCAACTTGAAGTTTGAAAGAACTCTCCGCATGATCCACATACAACTTCTTGTCTTCCTCTCGGAGAAATTCTGATTTAGGGTCCTAATACGAAAAATAGGTTATACAAACAGACTTTACCTTGAAGCGAGCACTGAGTACATTCCCCAAGGATACATTTTTAAATCCATCAACTTGGCGCACATCATCATAGTTAGGAATGTTAATCCCAACAGGGATTCCTGAGGTTGCAAACGTTACTACGTCCAAACTTGTAAAGTCTGGTTGTAAGAACCTGTCTTTTTCGTAAGTAGAAGGCCATGGCAAATTAGATAACAAGTCAACAGCATTATCTACTAGCCGCTGAAATTTAGATGACATTGATCGATTCACAACTGCGACAAATGACTCGAACTCTGCACGTACACCTAAAGGATCACGATAAGTTTCAATAAAGCCAATGTAATTTTCAACCACAGGGCATTTGTCCTTGACCCATAGTCTAGAAGCATCTTTGTGAGAGTCTAAGGACCCAGTATAAAAGCTCTGAGCATAATGATCCCACATTTCTGATTCGATCTTGTTAAGAGAGTGTGCTTTGGCATCTAAAGAGCAGTCAACCAGTAACTCCATAAGTTCGCAGTAGTCACCGTACTCGAGCTGCAAAGAAGTTCCCGAAGGAAGGGCATCAAAATGTACAGGTTGAACTTTCTTCTCAGCCGACGCAAACCGAATCGAATAAACTTTGGAGTTGGAGTTACTACTCTTAAAAAGTCGGGTATTATACGCTTCAATTTTAACGTTTTCCAGATATTTTTGAACTAGTTCAGCATCACTTCGAATACAGTCTTCAGAGTAATAAGACGTTATTTCAGTGGGACTAAAACCAAGGCGTAAACGGCGAGGACTTAACGAATAGATGGCTGGAGCTATTTCTTTCCATAAAGCTTTAAGACCAGTTTCTGAATTAGAAAATTCACTGCTCAACGATAAAAATTCTGTTACCCTGTCGACATTGATAGCTGGGATGAACTTGGTGTCCCCAAAAGACAGGTAATTCCCGAAATTACCCAGAACTGAGGCGAAATAAGATAAAATGTGGGTTATTTCCTCATCGGAAAAATTATTTTTTGTCGCTTTTTCAACAAACGAATGTACGTCCTCCAAATGGAAAAAGCGACTGACAAACAAAAATATTCCGGCAGACTCAGGAGATGTTTGAATTAATCCTATGAGACCTCCAATCCAAGACGCTTGTGTGCAGCTGAAAACATAATCCTTTTCCACATTGCTAAGTGATTTGAACGCTTCAGTAACATCAAGAAAATGCACGGGAGGAGGTACATTGATATAGAAGTCCATATTACGACAAAGTATATGCTGTTTGCAAGCTCTGAGTATGCTAACAGATTGAAGATAGCGTATTGCTGGTCTGAAGATAGACTGGAAGTGAGAGAAAACCTACAAGAGATGTAAAGAGTAATTCCGATAATAGTAACTCACAAAGATGAAATCCAGAACATGATAAAAGTTTGTATTGACCACTAATTAGACAAGACAAAGGGGTGCAGTTATACCAGATGAGTTAAGAGAATCGCACAAACCGTGATATCCTACTAAAATTGATGGAATCCCTTCTCCGATAAATCTCTACAACCTTGCTGAACCAAAGTGGCTCTCAAAGGACCACGTAGATCAATATAAAGCATATCCAGCAAAAATCTGAATGTAATACGGGTTCTATGAAACACATTGATTTGGATATATATGTAACCAGTGTTATTACACTCCCTATTTACTTGTCGAATACAAAAAGATAAGCCAAAATAATACTGGGTCAACAAGTTTTTACAGATGACTACATATATCACGAAACACTACTAAGTATCTCACCACACAATAAGATGTACATCCAATCTTACAAAGCACTACGTGGCAGAAATGCATATGAAAACTCAAACCAAACTAGTTGACGCACTAGGCATCAGATATACGGCATTAATCTTGAAATCTTTAGTCCTGGGTAATAATGATAGGTTTATTAACCTATAAAAGTAGATCACAAGTTATCGTGTCAAGAATCTGAGTGGTTGGAACAATCTTTGTAAATGTAAGATGACTAGATTATTTTTAACACGTTAGGTACAAATTTAAAAGCAAAAGGAGTCGACTCATGAAATTACACTCAGTCCCCAGCTGGGAAGAAACTATGATGTAAGCCCACTCATCCCGCCAAAAGGTTTAAATGGTTGTGGACAGAATAGAAGAAGCTTTCGCTTAACAGGCTTCCGTGTCTAGTAGCAGTGGATCACCAACACATCCAGACAGGAACCTAGGTATATTAACGATAATAGAGGAAAGAACAAAATCGGTAAATCATGGTATGACACTATCCTTAGTCCTGAAGAATAGGTCAGGTTTCCTCTTAAGGGACTCCTAGGAAGTCCTTTGAACTAGCTGAGCTGGCAGCGAATTCTAGCACTAGACAACTTTCTAGGAGTAGATGTTGTGTCTCCAATTTCTGAGTGTTACCTCTTAGGTCTGTGTTGGAGCTAAGCTTTTTAAGGCGATGTCCAGAAGTGTTAAGGATACTGTGAGCCATCAGAAGATCACCTCTAAGATGCCTGTACTATAATGGGTAAAGTTTTAGTGGTTGAAAGTGCTCTTCGTAAGGCTTGAATTTTAGTCCCTGAACTGATTTCGTGGCCAGCAGTTGGATAAGCTGCAGAATGTCCTTATACTTTTGGAGGGGAAAATACTACATTTCCGTACTCTAAGTGATGACGAACAAAACTGTTGAAGATTATGTGGAAAGTTCTTCCGTCAAACTGGCCAAAAATGCGCCTCAATGTTATCAGTGCAAGGTTTGCTCGAAAGGTATTTTTGTCAGTTTGCGTAAAACTTCAGATCATAGGGTACCAGCACCCCTAAATCTTTTTCATCCTTAAATATTTCTAGAGGGGAGTTGCCTCAGTTGTAACTGTAGTCTGCAACATGTCTCAGGTGGACTACTCTACACTTTAAAGTGTTAAGGGTAAGTCCGTTGTCATACCTCCTGAAGTGTCAGTATATTCTCTCGGTTGCGTATCTCTCCCCAGAGTTACACATCATCAGCAAAAAGTAATAGGTCAAACTATACTTGTTATGGAGGATCGTGTATATAAATCAAGAGAAGAAGAGATCCTAGTACTGGACCCTAGGGAACCCCACTAGAACATTTTATAGTCTGAGACAAGGTGAAGTTAACCTTGACCTTAAAATGTAGATTTTTCAATTATAAATTGAGCCAATCAATTGGAGGTGATTTGGTACCTAGTCGTTTGTGCCTTCTGACAAGATATATATGGTTGACCCTATCAAAAGCTTTTGAGAAGTCAGCGTAAATGATTTCAACCTTCCCCTTGAGATTGAGGATGGTTTTCCATCTGTCCACCGCAGTCAGCAGGTCAGTAATACAAGAATGCTCCTTTCTGAAACCATGCTGCTGGGGTGAAACGAAGTTTAAGGATAATAAATAGTCGTGTATACCATCGTGTATCAGGGACCCTATATTTTTTGAAGGTATAAAGAGAAGAGCCACCGGTCGATAACTTGAAATTTCCGGTAGCTTGCCTCGGCTTAGCAATCAAGAGAGCATCACGCCAATCGGTGTTGCCAGGATTGAAGCTGCTTCCCTCAGTATAGCAGAATAAAGCATATCCGGGCCAAGAGAAGTTTCTTTTCTTCAGTTCTGGAGTTTCTGGAACACAAATTCAGAGCTCATGTTCACTTCGGAATGTCCTATGCAAATGCGGATGAAGCTTTCATCAATACAGTTGACGTGGGTCGGTTGAATTGTCCGAGAGTATTGTCCAGCCAAAAGGTTAGCGGCGTCACCATCGTTGTCGGTCGGGCAGTTAGGACCTAGCGGTTGGGAAGCTCCAGTCTTGTCTTGTCGAAGAGAGGCTGCATAACGGTTTGAGACTCCAGGACCTGTTGTTGGTGAGACA